TTAAAACTTATGTAGGAAAAATGAAAGGAGTTGTTGAGAATGATCAATTCCTAATTATGCATTTTACCATGTAGTTATCATACTATTATAATATGTATCAATGTATAAATGATATCTAGAAATTGGCATCCCAGGTATTACAACAATGCATTCTTATACTAAAAAATTTACTTACTGTGTACCTGAAAATTTATCTGATAATCCGTTTTGTCTGGAAATTCTAGTCATAATCCACTAATGCATTATTTCTTTTGCTGCTAATTGTTCTTACTTTAGCCATTGGGAGCTCTTTTAGCTTGTCTCTAGTGTCATTTTGCAATGTTTTCATACTTTTCTTTTGATTATTTCCTTATTTTCTAGTCTTATAAGATGCTTTTGGCTTATATTGTATTTTTCCTGTCTGTGACCTGGAACCAGCCTTTCTCCAGAGAACTCTCAGAATGATATTTAGAAACCAAGATCTGGGTAATGAGGGTGCTTATTGCTACTGATTTCATGCAGTTTTAAAAATCAGTGCATATATCATAATGTAAATTGTTAACAGTGAGATTTGGATATTTGTTTTTAATTTTTACTCAGGTACTGATTAAAATCATTATCATGGAAAGAGGACTCATTCATCCATATGATATGCTCTGTATTTATCTTTTATTAAAATTAAAATTTATATTTTTATTAAAGTGATATTTGAACATAGCTTAAATTGTCAAACAGGAGAGAATTCTGGGCATATGGCAGTGGCATAGGTTTTGAAACCCTTCATATAATTAGAATAGATTATATAGTAAAATCAAAAGCAGTGGATAAGATTTCCAACAAAGTATCTCCATGAACCTCACAAAAGGTCTGAGGGGACAAATCATCTACAGTTTTAAGAGCTCTGTGGTATAGGAAAATGTAAGGGAGGAAGCCTTAGGGAAGGCAGAGGGACAAGAAATGGCTCCTCTCCGAACCAGGAAACCCCCAAATTGTCAAATACATGCTGGTGGCTTATTGGGCCATTCTGCAGATAGCAACAGCAACTAGGAGGGTTCCCTAATGGCTCCCATGAGTAAACAAGTGCAAGAAGAATCTGGGGAGATATAAAAATATTGGGGGTATGTCTAGTCTTTCTTAGGATACATCTCTAAAAATGACAAACCAAACTCCTGCCCTGAATAGAAAATGTTGGAATGAATTCTGTGTGGGGCAGTTTCAATGGAGGCAAAGAAAGAGAAGAGCCACAAAGGAGTGTTGAAGGGAATTAGATACAACTAGTGATTTACAGGATAAAAAGAAACACGCCTGGAGAGAATTTTCTGTGTTATATATCTGTTCCCAAATACATTTCTTTTATTTTTTTGCCTTAACTTAATATTCAAAATTTATACTCTTTTGATGATGTAAGTATTGTTCATAGTCAAGAAGCAGAGTGTTCTGTGATTCAACTTCTATCCTTTCCTAGTTGCAGTTGCCTCCTCTTTTCATTTGTTCACAATTAACATGAGTTGTATGATTTTAATCATGAATGGGGGCCTATAACTATTTGACAAAACTATAAAAATCCTCTGAAATAAATGAGAATCAGGTAATCTATCAGATTTTCTCCTGAGGTTGTCATTGCAAGTTCTCCCTTGTCCTGATTGTGTATGGATTGATTAATCTCTAACTATCTAAACCACCTTCATGAGAATTTTATCTTCTTGTTTTATGTTGAATACTTGTTCTCTGGATTACTTCTCATTTTACTTCATGGTTTTGTAGAAGAGTATTTTCTAGTAGGGCTCTTACACATATTATTATGTGCATGTCTTTATTAATGCTTATTATTTGTTCAATAATCTGGCTTAATATATGATTCTAATTTAGAAAAGATTTTTTTACTAGACATTTGAAGATCTTGTTTTGTTGTTCTTTAGGTTCCTACATTGCTATTGAAAACCCTAGACTATTCTGATTCCCAATTTATTCTTTGCTATCTGCTTTTTTTTTTTTTTTTTTTGTGGAACCTCCTAGGACTTCCTCCTTATAACCTGTTGTAGAACTTTTTCAGGGTATTCAATGAGTTCTTCTCAAGTTTGAAATTAATTTCTTTAAGTTTTAGCAAATATTCTTTTATTGTTTATTTATTTTTTCTTTTAATCTCTTTCTAAAAAAATTATTAGATGAATGGGTTAAATTTTTGTTGCTATGACCAAAGTACCAACAAAAATAATTTAGAGGAGAAAAGTATATTTTGGTTCATGATTTTAAAGCTTCAGTCCATGGCCCAGGAAAAGTAGAATATCATGACAGAGGAGTGCTGCTCGTAGTGACGAAGCAGAGAGAGAAAAAAGGGAAGGGGTCCCAGGAAGATGAACCTTTCTAAGGCATGCCTCCAGTGACATACCTCTTCCAAGCACACCCCTCCTGCCCACAGTTACCACCCAGTCAGTATATTCAGACATGATGGACTAATTAGATTATAGCTCTCATAATCTAGTCATTGTGCCTCTGAATATTCCTTCATTTATTATAGGAGCTTTTGGGTGTACCTCATATTCAAATCGTAACAAAGAATGTTGGTACTACTGTGAATTTATCTGCTGATTTCCTTATATTTTCTATTTTTAAAAAATTTTCCTGCTTTCTTGGGATTTATTTGTTTTAATCCTTCCATTGAATTTTTAATTATATAGCATTTATTTCGATGTGCTCTCTCATTCTTTGCATGTTCTTATAAAAATCATCTTAAAAACAATCTTTTCCAATGAATAATAAATCACTTCCTATGTTTCTGAGGATTCTAAATGTGGACTGGGAAATTTTGAAAAAAAAAATTTTATACCATCTAAATTATTTTTTACTTTGAGTTCCTTGTTTTGGTCTTTGCCTTGCCTGTTGAGATTTTTGGTGGGTCTATATCATGCTAGTCGAAGAGAATTATTGGCTCTTAATTCACATTATAAAAAGTTGGGAGCTTTGTGTGGTTGGGTGACTTGTGAATTGGTAGGCTTCAGAAGAGGGAATTTTATTGAAGGCCCAGTCATTTACTAGAACTTTTAAATGTCAGTATCTCCCTCTTCACTGAGGGGTTTCCACAAATAGATTTACCAGTGTATTTTTATGTCATATAAGCCTAACTGCCATTATTCTGAGATGATCAAGACGGGCTGTGGGCCTCCTAGTTCTCTATGCAGACTTTCTTATGATTTGTTTTCATGTAGCATGACTCTTCATTCTGACACCCACAGTATCTGGTGTTCCAGTTCTGAGCCTCCCTGGTTCTACTTATGCAGAGGGTAAACCTCTGCTGGGATTGGAGAGGCACAGATACACAGCTAGGAGTGTCTTGTAGAAAGGACCTCCTCCTAAACCACTCCAAATAATTTGTTTTTATCCCTGTTGAGCCTCAGCTTCCAATTGTTTTATTTTTTAATTTTCATATATGGGGATCAAACCTAAGGCCTTGAGCATGCTAAGCATCACTGGCTATGTCCCCCACTCTTCAATTCTTAAGGATTTTCGTGATT